TCCAAGTCGGGGCTTTGTTCCTCTTTCCATTGATGCTCATCGATAAAACCCCTCTCCTCAAGAGCAGGCAGCCTGAACACCTCCTGCCTGCCCAAAAAGCAGCACCCCAGGGACAGGCAGGATGTGTGAGGGGACCTCATGGGGGAGCTTTAGAAATTGCAGTAATGGAGTTTTTTGGCATGTTGTAGCTGTTACAGGTGGGCTCTTGGCAAAATCATGGAGTCACAGAGTGGTTTGGGTTGGAAGGGACCTTAAATGTCATTTTGGTCCACCCCATTTCCATGGGCAGCGACACCTTCCACTGGATCAGGTTGCTCCAAGCCCCGTCCAACCTGGCCTTGAGTGCTTCCAGGATCTTAATTCCCTCTGGGCTTTGCTTAGCAAGGAGTGTTACTAGTGCTGATTAATGAGTCACTGCAGACCAGGTTTGGGAAGAAGGGCTGCAGCCTGGCTACCACTCCCAATGGATACCAGTAACCCCCTCATTGGTGGCTGCCCTTGTGACGGGGAGCACAGTCACACCCCCATTTCTGGGCTGAAATCCCTGCATGCCTTCTTTTTCTCCTCCATTCCTCGTCTCAAACAGCTTTCCCTGACTTCAGGGTAAGGAGTTTTAAATCGAGTAACTGAAGGCAGGTTGGTCACACGGAGGATGGGGATGTGGCACTCGGTTTTCCACCAGAAGACAGGAGCATGTTGTGGAGGGGGTGTGAAATGCCTGGTCCTGATTATTCCGGATGTTTCCACTTGGATTTGGGGGAAGGCATCCCACGGATGCTTTCCTGTCCCCCTTGGTAGATGCTAATGGTGGAGCACAGGGTGCACAGGGGATCAGCAGCACCAATCTCGGCCTGATTGGGAAATACCTCTGGGCTTTCTAGGAAATGCTGCCTATTGAGGTATATTTTTGGCTGTCAATGCTGGCTCTCCAAGGAGCTTGTGAGGATGGAGGGTGGTTGCTTTTGCTCCTTTAAAGATAATAACAAATCAGTCAATGCTTGTAAAATCAGAGCTGTCTGCTGCGAACTTGCCTTTCCAGGGCCTTTTCCTCCTCCTACCAAGGTGCTTTTGGGTTGATTTGAGGCATTTTGGGTCTTGTGGCTTCTTTGCCTTATTTTGCCCTCGCAGCCCCATGGGTGGACAACACATTTCAAATCAACCACGGCTTAATGTGCTGTTTCTCACCTTTCTTTTTTGTTTTATTATGTGTTTATAAGAAGCCGAGCTGCTTCCTTCCGGCATCACCTGGAACAACAGGAGCCTGGTTCCCACACAGCCTCTGCTCCGGGATATCTCCTGGCACAGGCAGGCTCTCCCAGCAAAGCTGTTTGTACATTTTTTTAATTTTCACTGTTTTTTGATAAAGAAGGTTAAAGAGCATGCCGGGGAGGGGGGCTTGGCTCCAGCACTTCCTCCGGGGTTTGGTGATGCCCCTCCAGCAGCACTGGGGCTTCCTGCCGGCCACCACAGTGTTTCCTGCCTCCCTGCTTGGGTCAGTGGTGCTCCAGGGGTGACCCTCAGTCCCTTGTGGATGCATCTGTGCCAGCTTGGTGCTGAAAAGCCACTGGGGCCGCCCCACACCGAGAGAGGGATGGATGTGCCGGGAGGATGCTGCTTCCCAAAGGGCTTTGCTTTTCATTTAAAGGAGCTTTAAAAGCTATAAAATATCTCGAGGATGCACGGAAGGAGATGTATTTGATTTATTTCCTGCTGACAACGAGGTGACCAGGCAAGTGCACGCTTCCTCCTCATGGCGGCGGCCGGGGCAGATGCATCCTGCAGCTGCAGCCCGCCTGCCTCCCACTATATTTAGTCCATTGTTTGCTCTGGCTTTGAGTCCTGGCCAGGTCCCCGGGTGTGGGAATAACCCCTGTGCTGGGTGGAGGGGGAGAGGAGCAGCTCTGTGAGGTGGGATGGCGGAGGGCTGAGCACTGTGTGTCGTTTTAACTTATGTGGGAGAGGCTGCCGAGCCCAACTGGCACCTCTTGGGATGCTCAACCAGCATCCCAGTGCTGCTGGTGGCTCCTCTGGCATTGGCAGGGCTGGATGTTTTGGAATAGGGTCTGGAGGGGAAAGGAGACATCTCTGCATTGCCCACCTGGAGGCTCTGCTCCCTTGTTAGGCAGCAGGAATAATGAGCTGGCGGCTGCTGGAGCTTTGAATTTCGGCAAAACACCTGGAGAAGAACAGTGCCGGTTTGTTCAGTGGGAATCCCTCGTGCAGGGTGTCGGTTCTTTTGGGAGCTGGGGAGAAAATGGGCTCTTTGTTAACAAACCACGGCCACGATTGATCTCGGGCTTGGCTTTTGGGTCTCTGAGATGAGGGCTGTGAGGGGATGAGCTGGCTGGGGGAGTGTTCCTGGGGTTTGTCCCAGGAAAAGGAGGAGAGGGTGCAGACAGGAGGCCAGGATGCTGTGCAGGAGGGTTTGTCCCTGCATCCTTTCTCTCCTGGAAATGAAACCCCCAAATACTGTGTTGTGCAAGGGAAGGGATGCTTAAAACCAGCTCACCCTGGCCAGTTGGTAATCCATTATAAAACCCATGTGGATTGCAGCCCAGCCTCCTAACTTAAAATTGTAGATTCTCAGGCTGGTTTGGGCTGGAAAGGACCTTAAAGCTCATCTCATTCCAACCCCCTGCCATGGTCAGGGACACCTTCCACTAGACCAGGTTGCTCAAAGCTGCATCCAGCCTGGCCTCAAACGCTTCCAGGAATGGGGCAGCCACAACTTCTCTGGGCAACCTTTTGCAGTGCAGGAACTTCTCACAGTGTTTGCTGACTGTGTCCAGATATTGGGGGAAAACCTGATATTTGGATTAATCCAGAGCCCTTTGGTGGGCTGGTCCCTGCCAGGCTGTTCCTTGGGCTCCTGCCTCCTTTGGCTGGCCTGTGATGGTGGCTCCACTGCAACTCTTTCCATTGCAGCCATCAGCAATATTTGGAAGAGTTTTCAGCCAGAATAATCTTGTCTGTTCCCTGGGATAGGGTTTTGCTTCCCTACCCATCCCAGTTTGTGTCCCAGCTTGTAGGGTGGGTGGTGGGAGGGTGTAAACCCTCCTGCTCCCATCAGATGCAGCAGTACCAGTAAAGAGCTGCTCCTGTATGGATAACACCACTGCTTCCCTCTCCCTGTGGCTTTTTAGAGCAGTTTCCCTGGCTGCCCAGAGCACCCATTTTGGGTAATTTCGGTACTTTTCTTGCTTGTTTTTGCCTGCCCAACCGAGGCAGGGAGGCGGGGCGGGGTGGGGGAAGAAGCTGAAATGTGATTTCCTCTCTCCATTCATTTTGTGGTTTGAAAGACAATTTCCAAATCTGCCCGGCGTCTTTTATGCCTGTTATTTCTTGGTGTGGTTTGTCGGGTAAAGAAAATATCCCTGAGGGATTTAGGGTGAAGGTGGGTGTCTGTGGGGAGGGGCGAGAAGGATGAAGGAAATACAGAAGATGCCTGACTCCAAGTTGGGGGTGGATTCTCCATCCCCCAGCATGGGGATGCTGGAGCAAATCCAAAGGGATTGATCCAGCTTGCTGTTGAAAAGATGCACCCATTCTGAGCAAAATGAGGGGAAAAAAGCATCCTGGCTGGATGCCCCAGTCCTGCTTGTTGCCTGAGCTCTCCAAAGCCACGAGTGCCTGCTCTGAAACATTCAAACCCTCACTATATATATTTTTTCCCTTTATTTTTGCCCTGACAGTGTTTATGTGAAAGAAACACATGAGGACTTGGAGAAATTGCACTGGCCTGAAACAGCTGAGGGGCTTTTTCCCTCCCCCCCCCTTCGTCCTCTCGTGTGTAAAAGAAACCAAGCTGCCTAATGGTGCAGAAAATTCACAGTAGAGCAACAAGTTTTCTGCAGAGCAGGGAAGGAGGATGGGGAGGAGGGGAAAATGTGTGCCTGGGCACGGTCGTCTCGAAATAGCACATTTTCCGGAGGCTTTTCCCCCCACTGGAAGCATTTGCAGCTGCTGGGGGCATCGCATTCCCTGGGATCACAGTAAGGGATTGATCCTGTGCTGCTTGTAAGGCAGGAGGAGCAGCTGCAAAAGGATTTGTGGGGGGTGGGTTAAAGCCATCCCAGTATTCCCAGCGCCGAGCGTCGCCTCCGAGCAGGTACCGTCCCGTTCGGGTGCTGCCGGGGTGATTCCCGTGCAGCATCAGCACCAGGGAGATTTTACTGGGGACCGTCTCGTTAGCAGTGGGCAGAGTTTTTGTTTATTCCAGGCTGCCCCCTTGCCATCTCTCGCTTCATTTGGAAACCAGGATCCGGCCCTGGCTGCTGCAGACAGTCGGCTCATTGTCCGGGACCGGTGGAGTGTGGCGGGATGCTCCTGGCTGCCGCCAGCCCTGGCCCTTTTGATTCCACCCTTGTTTAGGGATGAGCTCCCTGGGGATGAAGGGGGGGCTGCTTTCGGGGGTCCTCCACCTGCCCTGGGTACTCCTGCAGTCTGGGGATAACCGGCTGCTTTAAAGGCAGATTTGCACGCACAGGTCTGCTCCAGGCACGCTCCTACATCCCAAATTACTAAATATTCCTGAGATCTGCTCTCCGTTCAAGTGTTTTCCGCGCAGGGAGGGACCCTGGAGCGGTTTGCGGGTGCTGGGAAGGCAGGGGATGAGGCGAAGGCTGCGCCGCCGCGTCCCTCCGCGGGGCCGGGTGCTGACTCAGCAGGTTTTGGGGACCGGATCCAGCATTTCGCCCTTTTTTCCCCCCTCCCATTCCTTCCCTCCTCAGCCCTGCTTTCACCTCCCTGATGGAGGGAGCTGCATGGCAGGAGGGAAGGAAGCCTTTTGTGGGAGCGGAAGGGAGAGGGCTGGCTTAGCGCTTCTTCCCTCGCCTGGGTGTGGGCAGGGGGGTTGCCCCGTGCCCGCCCGGGATTTTCCCTGCCTAAATCAGGAGCGGCTGAAAAATAAATTCCTCCTCCCTTTCTCTCTCTTTCTTTCTCCCTCCTCTTTTTTCCCTGCGGTGGCTGCTGCTGCTTCCCTGTCCCGGCGCAGCCGCCCGCAGATTATGGGTACGACGGCCAGCGCGGCACAGCAGGCAGTGTCGGCATCCCCCCTGGAGAGCCGGGCGCCGGGAGACGGCAGCATGGAGGACCAGCGCTCCCTCAGCATCCACTCCTTCCAGACCCTGGGGCTCCACAACAGCAAGGCCAAGTCCATCATCACCAACAAAGTGGCGCCCGTGGTCATCACGTAAGTCGTTGGCAGCCCCTCGACACTCCAAAATTCTGTTTTTCCCCACTCCCTTCCCTAAATATTGTTGGTTTGGGTTTTTGTTTTTTAATCTCCACCCGTGCCATTGGTTTTTTATCTTTACCCACCTGCACATGGCTCTTGCAGGTACAACTGCAGGGAGGAGTTCCAGATCCACGATGACCTGCTGAAGGCCAACTACACGGTGGGACGCATTTCTGAGGCCACGCTGGAGCACTACCTGGTGCAGGTGAGCATCCCACCGCCAATTCCATCATCCAACCCGTTTCAGCCTGGGATTTGTAGACCTCAGGGTTTTTTTGGGGGGCTAATTTTGAAGATCACCAAGAAAAAGCCACTTCTCTTCTCAGCTGTGTTCTGGGATGCGTAAGTCCCAGATTGCTCGAATCCACCAACTTCCCACCTTCTCTCTTTCCCTCTTGTTTTGCAGGGGAAATATTTCATGGTCAGGGATGTATATGGAAAATTAGATGTCTTGAACACTACTGGCAGCTGCGGCGCTCCCAACTTCCGACAGGCGAAAGGAGGCTACGCCGTGTTCGGGATGGGCCAACCCAGCCTCAATGGCTTCAAGCTCGTGCTGCAGAAGCTGCAGAGAGAGGGCCACAGGGTTGGTGGCAGGGTGGGGATTGGGGTGGAAAAAGGCAAGAGAGCTTTTAGGCAGCCTCTCTCCCCTTTCTTTCAGGAGTGTGTCTTCTTCTGCGTCCGCGAGGAGCCTGTGGTCTTCCTGCGGTTGGAGGGGGACTTTGTGTCCTACACCCCCCGGGGCAAGGAGAACCTCCACGAGAACCTGCAGCGGGGAGTGCAGGCGGAGAGCCTGGAGCTGGCCATCCGGAAGGAGGCGAGGAGGGGTGGGAAGGGGCCACCACGCCAGCCGTGACGGGGTGCAGGCGTGCCCCCGGCCCAGAGGCGGGTTTTGACGGGGGTTCCCCATCCCCTCCAGATCCACGACTTCGCGCAGCTGAGCGAGAGCGTCTATTACGTGTACAACGACATCGAGCGGCTGCGGGACGAGCCCCACGCGGTGCGGGTGCAGTGTGAGGAGGACATCCAGGTGACAGAGGAGGTCTACCGCCGACCCATCTTCCTCCAGCCCTCCTACAGGTGCTCCCTTCCTCCTCCTCATGCGCAGTCGGGGCTCTCGGTACCCCCTTAAGCCGCGTGTCCTCCATGGTGGTGGGGATGATCCC